GTAGAGGAAAGATCCCTGGTATTTGACTTCTGTAAGAGACACGTGACAGTGAAGAATTGCCGGTACCAGCAGAGTTGAGAACTGAGCCCTGGAGGGCATCGGTTCATTCATTCGTTTGTTCTTTTGCTTAGGCGGCCAGTCCGTGTTCCCTGAATGCCCAGTATGTGCCAGGCCCCAGGGCTACCCGGAGGAAGCAGTGGTGGTCCCTGCCACCATAGAAGGTAGCCGAGGAAGGGACGCAGTGAGGGTCTCCAGGTTCAGGGGCCAACATGCGGATGGGCCTGCATTCAGGAGCACTAACAAGGGCTTGGGAAAGGCTTCTTGGAGGAGGTGATGCCTGGGCTGTCTTGTCACTCTGTCATCGTTAGCACAACAAGGCATATCGGGGACCCAGAGATCCACCTAAACAAAGGCCCAAGAGCAAGAAATGACCAGGGGTGGGTTTGTGGAGCCCGTGACAGCATTCAGAGCCAAGAGTGTGACTCGATCTATATTTCCTCCTGGTGACATTGCCTCTGGGCTGACATTGCCTAAGGGCTGATCGCACCGCTTTCCCATGTGCCCCCTCCAGTCCTTCCCAGTACAGCTGAGCCAGGGTGAGGATAGGGCACAAGCCGCCAGTGCCCAGCCATGATGGGCATCTGCCTCCAGGGAGCACTGACCCACAAAGATTTGCTTCCAGTGATCTGACTGTCCCCTCTAGACAGTGAACCCCCAGAGTCAAGCACAAAATTGAGGGTCACCAAGCCAGAGGTGACCAGACGGGGTCCCTTCCCTCCTGTTGCATAGATTTCACTGGATGGCTATTCGAGAATAGGGTTGTTTTGAGCCCTCCTGCACTAGCCAGAGCCCTGAGCATCTTCCCAAGGCTCCAGGAAAGGTCACCATGGTCTTAGGGGTGGGCGCCATTCTGCACGTATCAGTCCAGAGATGCCCGGCAGACCTGCTCACCATCTTGTCTCCACCTGCAGTTATCAGCTGGTCTAAGCCAGCCCTCGCTGGCACAGGACCGACCTCACAAGGGCAAGTTAAGGTTCGTTCCTTTATTCTTTCTTTCATTCATTCAACACAAAATACGTGCCCGGCCCGTGCCAGAGGCTCGGAAGTCAGACATGAGTTGGGTACAGTCCTGTCCTCAAGGAGCCCCCAGACTAGTGGGAGATGGACACATAACAGAGAGTTACCACTTGGTGATGTGATGAAGTGCCAGGAACTTGGAGCCAGGAGCCCGGGAAGGTTTTCGGGATAAGACATCACTTGCGTCTGTGACTTCCGGAGTGAAGTTCTCTTAGCAAGCGGCCTGGGATTCAGCTACCAAGAGAAATCTTGTATCTGAGCCCTCCTATCCTTTCATTTGACCCTGGGCCCCCTCCCCCCAATTTCCTGAGAACCGTACATTCTTGTCCCCACCCAGCCCTCAGCCCTGTATCACCCAGAGCTAGGAACAGCTGTGTAGCAGGGGGCATCCGGACCAACCCAGGCCTGTCACACAATGGTGTGCCACCCAGCCAGGGGAAGTCATTGTACGGCTTCTGCTCTCTGGCTAGCTTCAGGCCGCTAGGGAGGCCAGGCTGGGGGGAGGGGTCTAAGGGGCCATCAGGGAGGCCTCTGCAAGAGGAAGGGCCGGGCCTGGGGAGGAAGGGCGGAAGGCAACTGGGAGGTCAGGAGCTGAGCCCCAGTCACAGAGGCACCTTGGCAGGAGGATGAAGATGGGGGGAGGGCCTGTCGGGGGGACCTCCCTGCCACACAAATCCCAGCCAATGAGCTCTGGCATCTCAGGCTGGTGGGAACCTGCAGAAGTCACCTGTCCAGGGAGAAGGACAGCAATCACCCCCTGCCCACTTGCTGGTCCAAGAGTTGCCAGCGGTAGCCTAGAGAAAATCTGTGAACCGGGGACATTGCCCTTGGCAGCTGACCTCCTATCTTTAGGGCCAAGAGCTCTTCTGTGTATTAAACTTGGACCCCGCTGCTGTTGAGGAAGCCTGCTTCCGCTGGCTCAAGCTCAGGAAGCCCCAGCCTGGCCCCTTCCCTGTGCGGCACACCGAGTTAAGCCAGGCTTCTCCGGCCCAGCATGGTGACGTTCAAACCCTTCCCTTGCCCTGCATCTTGAGGGCTGTTCTGCAGCAGCTCAGATGTGCTGCACGCGACCTGTTCAGGGCCTCCCAGAGACCCTGGGACTCTCTGGTCAGCTAGGAGCATCTCCCTTCCCCTCCACCATGGTAAGCAAGTCTAGGGCACAGGTCCTTGTGCTCACCAGGAGTCCTGTGGCTTCAGGGATGCCAGGCAGAAAGGGGAGTGGCAAGAATGAAGCAAAAGAAATGGAACCATGGGCTTGTGGGCCCAGGTTCACCGGCCCCCACCCCCACCTCCGGCCCTGGTCCTGGGAGGTCCTGAGTCTTGGCCTCTGATGCCATTCAGTTCAGTGAAGAGGAAGGAGCACAGGCCTGAGAAGCAGAAGACCCAGGTCTTAGTCCCAGTTCCACATTCACTTATTGTCACAGGACACAAATGTTTGGAGCCTCGGTTTTCCTGCGCATAAAATGGAACACAGTAAAGCCTCCCAGCATTTTCTGGTGGGGGAGGGGGAATCCAAAAAGTGATAACGTTAACACGTGTAAGTGTTTTGGAAAACACAGTATTGTAACAGAAAAGGCCAAGAGATAACCCACCAGCTGCCACTTCTCCATCAGGTGCCCAGGGCACGTGGCTAGCTGATGTCAGCATTTTCTCCTTAAGCTACATTGCTACTTGAGAATCCATCCCAACATGTATTTTAGGAAGTAAGACCACTAGATCAGAATGGCGAGACAGAATGAAACCTCTGTCCCCCACCTGCACAAGCTCAGGACATCACGTTGCTCTTTGGGAGATCCCACCAAGCACGGACAGAACCACTAAGAACCAGAGCTGGTGGGAAGCCAGAGGGGGGCCCCGGGAGGGGTCCAGAGAACAGGACCCTCGCATCCTGGTTCAACCCTCGCCCCATGGCTATGCTTCAGCTGTCAGCTCTGAGACTGGGTCCAGAGGATAGCCTGTTATCGGACCCACTACCCTGTTGGAACTCCTGGAATAGTTAGGGAGACTAGCATCCGTACAGGAAAGAGAGGCAACCGTGCCAAGCAGGCCCAGGGATTACCCAGTGGAAGGGCTAGATGACCAGTGCCCTCTGTGGGCTGGGACACCCGCCAAGCTGGGCTGTGAGTGCCTACTTCTCAAGAGGTCTTTGCACCTGGCGTCCTGGCAGGCAACCCCAGTCCCTTTCTACCTCCTGCTGTGTTCCTGCACCTCCCTGAAAAATCACAGTCAGACCAGCCTTGGGGAGCTCTAGCTGACAATCAGGAACGCCCCTTCCAGGAAGCAATGCCCAAGCTGGGATGGAGAGTGACTGGACCTCTGTAGGCCATCTCTCCACGATGCATTCCTGAGACAGAGCCCTCACTGGAGAAAGCAGTGCCTTGGCCCCTTGACCCCAGAGCTGGGCTTTTGAGAAGCCCCCGAATTCCTGCATACCTACCCCAGTGCCCCTCATCACTGACCCCCCAGGCAGGGCCAGCCCGATCGAACAGCAGCATCCCCTGTGGGCCCCACGACATGTGTTCAGAGCATCAACTCCCCTCCATTGGCCTCTCCCTTGGAGGGAATAAAGGCAGGTTGTCTTTATTAAATGGGAACATGAGAAGGTTACAGGAATGATGGCCCTTATAATTCCTGATCTATTTCTTAACAGTAACTTAGGGCCTCAAAGCAGATTTCCTTCTGAGGGCCTCAGCCAGTGCCATGATCCATTGGCCTCCTGCCTCAGTCTCACCCTGCCTGGCCAACTCTCCAGAGGCCCCAGTGTCCCTCCCAGCCCCTTGAGAGGCAGGTGCGATGATCCCAGGGCACCTCCACCCCCCAGGTGAGTCTAGGGGGCTTCTTGGCCTCCTGCCCCTCCTCCTTAGCAGCAGGGAGGATGTCTTAGGGGCCCTGGGGGCGGAGCGTGTGGTCCAGGATAAAGATGGAGCCTGGAGCTCAGAGTAAATTTCACTGAAAACAGGAAACCACGAAGCTGTGATGTGCTTACTTGTAAGGGTCCAGAGAAGAAGATCTCGAGGCCACGCAGGAGGAAGCTGGGGAGGAAGTGTGGTGGCTTTCTGCTCTGGGGCCTCCTCCCTCCCTCCACACATCAGCAGCAGGCTTGGGGTCTGACAGCCAAATTCTCAGAAACTATATCTGCCTAGAGGTCAAAAGCTGAGAGATGGGCCAGACCAGCCTCCCCCTAGGGCAGGAGCACTCTTTCTGAGCTGGGGGATGGGAGGTGGGTCTGGTCTGTAGGCTTTTCCTTCAATCCTAGGGGTAGCCAAGCTCAGCCTTGAGCATGTATCACCCTGCCCATCTCTGCCATGGGCCCCCAAGAGCTGTTAGAACAGCACCCTCTTTCTATGGCAGCCAGCACGGAGTGTCCAGGGAGCAGATGGAATAGAAGAGGAACCCCGGGACAGAGCAGGAACCGGGATTTTGGTGTCCTGGCCACTGCAGGTGTCCATGCAGTCTCCAGGCCCAGGCCCACTCTTTCCTCAAGGCCAACCCCCCCAGGCCCTGCGCCAGCATAGCAGGACACCAACACTGCCCATGCCCTCGGGCCTGACGGGGAGCTCAGAAGCAATGCCGTGTATCCAGGGGACCTCCCTGGTTCTAGCTGCAGGCCTGGGGGCTCACTGCTCCCAGAGAGCCCAGAGCTGCATTCTTCCTCCCCCAACTCCTGTCCCCCACCTCTTCAGGCCATCCAGAGGGCTCTCCCTGCCTGCTGGGCCCTTCTGCCGGCCTGAAGTCCCGGCTTTGCGCCCCGGGGTCCAGCTCAGCAGAGCCCGCCTGGGCTGCTGAGCTAAACGCTCTCCTCCATGCACTACCTGGGCCCTACCCACTCAAACTCACCCCTTCCCCTCGCGGGCCCCCCCACCCCATTCCCTGCTCCCACCCCAGAGTATGCAGAGGCCCTCCCCACTCCTCTCTGTGTCTTAAAACGCTTTAATCAAAATTCCACAAAGCATTCCCTTGCACATGGTGTATAAAAACAAATCCAGGACACGGTCAGAAGCAAGAGATGGAGCACAGGGCCCCAGACCCTTCTATGTACACCCCCACCGCACAGGGTCCCTCTGCAGTGGAGACTCAGCCCAGATTAAGTGGAATGGAAGACCAAAGACTGGGCGGGGGAGGTGGAGGAGATGGGGGGCTCCCAGGCACTCCTGGAAGCAGAGCAGGGATTCAAGCCCATCTCCTACAGTTTTTTCACAGGGTTTGCACTTGCTGCCTATGGACTTTTCCTCTTCTTTCCACTGGCGGGAGGGTCACAGTTGGGACAATACAGTGTGCGGTCACCTTCTGTACCAAGCACACTGCACAGTGGAGGGGGAGGGGAAGAGGTGGAGCCACTCACCTTCCCAGCATGTTCCCTGTGCTCTCCCTCACCCCCCTCTGCGGTGGGTACTGCAACCTCTGGCCTGGCCCCCGTTGCCCAAGATCCCAGTTGGCCCACAGTGGCCACTGTGCCTCGGGGTGCACTTCCTGTTTTGGGGACCCTGGCCAGTGAACTCTGGGGACCAGAGGGCAGGCAGCGGGAGCCCATTTTTGTTTAACCGGTTGGCAGACAGCTACTGGGAGAGGTTGCTGGGAGCAGACAGCTGGGAAAGGCTCCCATGGCCCCTGGGGGCAGGCAGGCCCAGCATCAGAGCTCCGGGCTCACAGAGTGGGAGTCTGATAGAGGAGCAGCCTCAGGAGAGGTCAGGAAAGCTAGATCTAGCACACTGAGGAGGAGTCTTTCCACATCATGTCCTGGGTCTCGTGCCTGGGAGGATGGCACTGTGTGGGGAAGAGGGGAGAGGAGTTCTGTCCAGTGCCCATCTTGTCCCATCAGGGCTGTCCGGTCACAAAGCTCATGTCCCAGGGAGAGAAGCTGCCGTAGGCTGGAAACTATTGAACTTCTCGGATGTAGGCCATTTGGCATTTGTAGCTGGTAAAATTCAGGTCTCTGGGGTGGGCTCCCAGCACCCCACCATCCTTGAGACAGGGGCTGAGCCATCCAACCCCTTCTCCCTTCTGCCCTATAGCACCCAGAGGAGTTGAGGGTCTGGCCATCAGAGGTATCTCAGAGAGTCTGGGCTCAGATCAGGAGGGAGGAAACCAGGACCAGCGTCAAGGCTAAGGGGCCACTCAAGAAGGTCAGCTCTGCCTCAGATGCACCTGCCCCAGGCCCAGCCACAGTTGCCCACCGGCCCCAGTTGGTCTAGACGGCCTCAGAGTTTGGGGAGTCAGGCACGGGGTCTGCAAAAGAAAGGAGAAGTAGAATGAATGGGGAGCTTCTCGGTCCTTCACCCCTAAGCCCACACGGGGAGGCTGTAAGGCCTCACAAGGGGAGGGAGGCTGCTGCCCTGCAGGCCATGGGGAGGTCATGACCTCGCAGGCTGTTGTGCTCTTCGGGGGTGGGCTGTTGGACTACACTTACCGAGGGTTGGGAAGAAGACATCCCCAGGGCCTGGTGGAGACAGAGGAGTGCCCGGCTCAGAGAGTAGGTGCCGCCCGGACTCTGAAGGCTGCCGCTGAGCCATGTAGGACAGTGGAGACCTGGGTTTGGCCTCTGGCATGGTCTGGGAGGATGGGGAGGCCTCAAAGCCAGGATTTTCGAGTCCTTGCGTGTTGCCACTAGGAAAGGAGAGCTGGCTCAGTCCGTTGCGCTGCCCAGGTTTGGGCCTCTGCCCTCCTGCCTGCCCCACTCCTCTGCTTCCCTCCCCGCCCCTGCCTTCACAGCCCAGGCTTCTGTACCCTCTTCCCGCAGGAAGGGAGGAGCCAGGGTCAGAGAGAAAAGGGCACGGCTTACACTCATCTCCCCTGAGCTCAAGGCGGCGTCCTAATCGTTACTTGGCCGTCCGCCCTGGGCGCAGCCGGGAAGCCTGGGGTCAGAGACATGCTCAGGACACCAGATTCGGGAACCTGTGACAGGTTTCTCTTTAGTCAATAGAGCTGATGGCATTAGGATTGAATGCTTGTAGTATGGTGCGGGGAGCAGGGTCCTCCCTCTTCCTGCTTGGCAGCGGGACCACCTCGAAAGAGACCGCCACCCCCTGCCGCCAACTCTGAGATCCTGGCAGGATCACTGGCAGGATCTCCTTTGACCTGTCTAGAAAATCATCTCTTTCAAACACCTAGAGGCACTCTGGGTTTGCTGGTAGAGGTAACTGGGCCAAGTTCCCGAGTGGGGCTCATTCCTGAGGATACCGCCCCCCGCCATGCCAGCCTCCATGGCCACTTCCTGCACCGAGCACACCAACACACATTCTCCCAGCCACCATGTGCCCTGCCCGCTGCCCCACTAGGAGACCCTGGCCAGCCTCTGCCCTGGTGGCCTGCGGCAGCCTGATGACTTTCTCCTTGGAGTGCTCTGCAGGGAGGTCATCCCCCTTTGGGGGGTGTGCCATCCCCCTTCGCATGTTTCAGTGTCTGTCCCCAGTTCAGCTGCTTCCTCCTCCTGCCCCAGCCTGACCAGCTGACACTAGGCCTGAAGGAAGGTGCCGGGCTCATCCCAGCAGTGTTAGAGCTCAGCCTACTGGGCGGGGTGGGGGGGGCAGTGGCAAGGAGAGCACAGATGTGTAGGCCTCAGTGGCAGATGGCAGACCCTTTGCTAAGCAGTTGTGCCCTGGAGGGCTGTACAGGAGCCTCCTGCACAGCTCTCCTTCTTGACAGCTGACCCAGGGCCTGGGGAGGACCCGGAAGGCCTTGTCTGTGTTCTGAGCCCTGTCCCAGGACAAGTTATCAGCAGGGTGAGCGGGGAAAGGAAGCTGGTGAAGGGGAGTCCAGTCCAGGCAAAGAGTGACCCCCCACCCCCGCATTAAGTCCAGTTATGGTCTGAGTGTAGACCGTGCCCAACAGAGCCGCAGGCCCGGGGAGAGACAGGGAGAGAAAAGAGCTTGCCAGGCTTGGAGTCGGGGTCGGGGGTGCTGTAGGCACTGTTCTCAGGAAGATCTCCAGGGGCCTTACCTGTCCATCCGCACCAGCTCCTGGGCACCTGGGGGACATACAGACAGAGAAGCTAGTCACAAAGGAGAGGCTTCCCTAGACAGCATCCCTGTCCCTGCTGCCAGATGCCCTTCAAGGAACAGGAGCAAGGCCAGGCTGGGCCACGCTCAGCCCTGGATCCACCTTCTGCTGGTTCAGGAGGCCCACACGGCAGTGTTTGCCCTGCACGCAAGGCCTCGGTGAGCCCTGTGTTAACCGGTGATAAATGAAACTCGGGCTGCATTTCACAAGTATAGGAAACGGTGTTTGTCCCCAGGAGGCCAAAGGCAACCAATGCTTTCTCCTATGGCTTCATTAGGTGTTGCGAGACCTTTGATTTAAGTATCAGGTAAAGGCCTCACTCCTGAATTTGCTATTTCCTGTTTGGATACTTGCCACACTCTGGTCTGTCGCCATGACTTACTGAGCGGGAGGGCCGCGAACTCAGTCCCTAACTGGAGTCCCTAACTGGAACTCTCTGGTCCGTCCTCCACATTACTAGAGGGTGGCTGTAGCAGTGACATCTCTCAGGGGAGCCATAGGGGCCTGAGACCCCCTGACTTCTCAGCCATTCCGCCACTTTCTAATGCTCCTCCAAGCTGCTGCTGCACTGTCCCACTCCCATGATTCCCCACCCCCAAGCAGGCCCCCAACCAGAAGCCGCAGCCCTACTTCCCTCTTCCTTGCAGCTCCCTGAACACTTCTCATTTGCAAGAGCTCCACCATGGTGACTGTGGGGAAACGTGGGCGGGAGGGGCACACACGGAACACAAGGGAAGTTGCACAAAGGCTCCTAAAATCTCTGCTCTCGCAAGGAATCATGGCTACCGTTTAGCAGGCAGCTCTGTGCATCGGGCTTTGGGCAGGTGCCCAGCATTCCCTGGGCTCATTCTCTCCACCCATTGAGGGGGTGGGTTTCTGGACCCACTTTAGAGCTGGGAAACCCAATCTCCATCTGAAACCGGGTTGGTTTCCACACCGATCAGCCTCTGCAGGAGGCTCCCTGCCTCAGTGCTCCCAGCCCTTTCTCTCTTCCTCCCTGCATATGCTCAGAGCCAGCGCCCTGCCTGCGGCAACCCACACACGCTTGCCGTCCCCTCCCTCCCTGGACTGCCACCCCACCCGGGCGCTTAGCCTCCGTCCTGCAGCCAAACTCCTGGTGTTTCGCAGTGACTTCTGTTCCCATAATTCCGGCAGCAGCACTTCTCACAAGACTAGATGAAAAAAGGACCCATATCTCCCCTCCCTCTCCATTTTGCATGTGGTTTCTCTCCCATCATCTCTTGGGTCTGTCTCGAAGACTCTGATCCTATAACTCATTTTTTCTTTCTTTCTTTTTTTTTGGAAAGGGGTGAGCCAACTGGCCTCCAAAATACTTTTTTTTTTTTAAGATTATTTATTTATTTGACAGAGAGAGAGATCACAAGTAGGCAGAGAGGCAGGCAGAGAGAGGGGAGGAAGCAGGCTCCCCGCCAAGCAGAGAGCCCAATTTGGGGCTCTATCCCAGGACCCCGGGATCACAACCTGAGCTGAAGGCAGCGGCCTTAACCCACCGAGCCATCCAGGTGCCCCCAAAATACTTTATTAGAAGATAAATTATTGACACCTTCTTGTTACCGCATATATTTAATTTAATTTGGGGATAAGGAGCTGTAAGCAGCTACACGTCACAGAATTAGGGTCCGTTTAGTTTCAGAGGATGCGTGCAGCACTGGGAGCTCTTTACTGAGAGCTGAGTGTGTCTCCCTCCTCGTCCCTTCCTCACCTGCGTGAAAACACTGCACAGATGAACACGAGCTCACAGCAGCTCCACAGTGATGACTCTCCCTGCTTGAGCCTCTGGGGTCTTCTTTCTGCTCCAAGCCCTTGACCCGCCTGCTCCCCCCCCCACATCCCCAACCTCAGGTATTTCTGGCAGTAGGCTATGGCGGGTTTTGTGAAAGGAGTGTGGATATCCTGAAAGTAAGGGAAAGGCGACCACAGCCCCTGAGTGAGCCACTGTGGGGGCTCCAGGTTGGGCCCCCAGGAGAGAGGGCAGTGCAGATGTTACGGTCCAGCCAGAGGAAACTGGGTGTGAGCCAAAAGCCACCTGCCAACAGAGCAGCTCTCTACTACCTTCTGCAACCGGCCAGAGGGGAAGAGGCAGGAGAGGTGACGCAAGGGCCGGAGCAGAGGCCTCCCCACCCTCCTGCTCCTGGAGGCCTCAGGCTAGCCCAGGTTCAGGGGTGGGGTCAGAGGAAGGGCAAGGGCCACTGTACCACAAAGGAGGATGAAACGGTATTTGTGGCCATGACCGGAAGCCTGGCTCCGCGGCTGACTGTGAGGGTCCCTTGGTGAGTTACTGAACCTCTCTGTGCCTCGGTTTACTCAGTTGTCATGGAGGAACAATTGTAGGACCAAGTTGTCGCATCGTTAGGAGAGAAGGCATATAACATCCTTGGCACGGGACCTAGCACAGCAACCTTCCCAGGCTGGGGTTGTGGCCAGGATGTTCATGCCAGTGAGCATTCTGATGATCTGGTGGGAGGAGCCTGAGTGGAGAGCTCTGGGCTTGAGTCCCAGCTCTGCCATTTACGCACTTCAAGAACACTTGGTTAACGATTTAACCCTGCTAGTAAGCTCAGGTTTCTCAGCTCCACAGGGAAAGAACTGAATTAAGTTATCTCCAGGATCCCTTCCAGTTCTGGTAATCCAAAGATTGTTTTTGTCCCAGCAGTTACAATGCTGGTTACAAATCAAGCCTACCCCCTACCTTAAAGCAGATCCGCAAAGGATCTCCGGGGGCGGCAATTTTATAAACCAGTTTGAACCACTCTGTGTGACCATTCAATCAATAGACATTTACTGAGTGCCAAGCCAGGACCACTTGAGGCTGGTGGGCACTCAGGCCCCCCAAATGGCACACCTGGGTCCCCTCCTCTCTCTACCATGCTCCTTGCAGGGACCCAAGCAGCTTCCATCTCTGGAACAGAGAGGAAATGTGCCTGCCTCTTGCCTTTGCTGATCCCAGGGGCTGAGCTGGGGGCTGGGGCGGATCGCTGGCACTCTCACCCACCCCAGGCAGGCGAGGATACTCACGGCGGTTGGAGGCCACCTGCCTTTGCCTGTAGACCAGGAGCAGGATGAGGGGAAGGCAGAGGATGCCCACAATGCAGGCGCTGGTAGCCAGGGCAGCAGCTGTGATGCCTGTGAGGAGAAAGAGAGCCACAGTGAGACTCCATTTCCTCCATTTCTCCTGAGGGGAGACTGAAGCCCAGAGAGGAAAGTTCCAGGCAGCAGGGGGACCCAGCTTTACCCAGGCCCCGCAGCCAGACCCTCAGTGACCTGCAGAGGCAGAGAAGGCCCAGGGATCCCCTTTCAAAGAGAGCCCCATGCCACCTGCCCACATGGGCCCAGGGCACACAGAGATGAGGCCAGGTGCTTAGAGCAAAGGCAGCTCTGGGAAAGAGAGAGCGGGGTCTTCATCCCAGGCCCCTGGGGATGGCTCAGCTGCCCTGGGCCACAGGTTGTTCCCTGGAAAGGGAAAGCAAGTCCTTCACAGACCCTGTGTCCTGACATTCAAGGTCAGAAGGAACCCAAGTGGTGAAAAACGTTTAGAAATACATAGCTGTGATGGTTGCACCACACGGTGAGCAGAATTAATGGCACACTTAACAGTGGTTAAATTGCTAATCTTATGTTATATACATTGTAACAATAAGAAAAAAAAAAACACCAAAATGAACAAAAGCCCCACTCATCCCAAGAGACCCCTTAGCTCTGGACACAGCTTTTGGAAGTGATCTCACACATACAAGTCACGGGGGGAGATGTGGGTGAGAATTAGAAAAATGTGAATCCTTATCCTGTGTTTTAAAATTTTAGACTTTATAAATTAATATATATATAATTTATATATATATATGTGTATATATATATACATATATACGTGTGTGTGTGTGTTAAAATATATTTAAGAGTTTTCTCCTGGAGCACCTGGGTGGCTCAGTCATTAAAGCATCTGCCTTAGGCTCAGGGTCCTGGGACTGAGCCCCACATCAGGCTCCCTGCTCAGCAGGAGGCCTGCTTCTCCCTCTCCCACTCCCCCTGCTTGTGTTCCCTCTCTCACTGTCTCTCTGTCAAATGAACAAAATCTTAAAAAAAAAAAAAAAAAAAAGTTTCCTCCTCCTGCTGCTCCTCCTCCCCCCAGGGCCCCCTGCAGAGGCAGTCCCTGTCCACACTTTCCTTGCGTGCAGCCCAGATTTGTTCCCTGCATACACAGCAAATGGCTGCTTTTCATGACTATCGCTTTGCCCACTTAGCATGTCACGTTGCCCACGGACAGCTCTGGATGGCACAGAGCTCTACCTCATTCTGCCTCGCGCCTTGTCGCTGGGCTCACCCCAGAATTTATGGAAACAGTCCCCCACTGGTGGACATGCAGATTGCTTTGATTTTTCCCCATAACTAATAACGTAGCCGTGGACTCCTTGCACGTGCATCGTTGCTCTCTTGGGAAAGTACCGCGTACGCAAACTCCCAGCGGCGAAAGTGCTGAGGCAAAGAGTACATGCGTTTTCCTCCAGGCTGCTGTCTAATCGCCCTCCACGTTACCATCCCACCAACAGCATGGAAGGCTTCATTTGTTTCAGCCTGTCTGCTGACGCCAGGAGTTTAGCTGGGAACAGACATGCCTCGGAACCACAACCAGCGTAAATGCATTTCCTTCCCAATTTCAGCCCTTCCCAAAATACAAAATATGGGCTGGGATACCTTGTCACGTCGTCAATGCAGCTCCCGGGGAGCTTGGGGAAGGTGGAGGGGTTGTGGTCCTGGTGTTGCCTTTGCACTATTTATTTGGGAATAAAGGCTGTTTTTATCTCATTGTGTTGCTAAACACCATGATGGTGTAAATAAGCTTTCCGGGGGGGGGGGGGGGGTTTGTTCATACCAGGGGCTTTGTTCATACCACGGAAGAGAACAAACTGTTTACAGGCACTTTAGACCTACCCACTGTTCAGGAACAGTTGCTGTGCTAATTACAGAGCAAGTTCAAGTCCACATTAAAGCAGGTTCCCTGCACATCTCAGCAATGCTGCGGTTTGACGTGGAGTAGTGAAAGTAGACACATTCTGTAATTCAGACATTCAAGGATTTTTAACTCCCTGTCATAGGACCTTCTGGTGGGCACTGAGAAGGGGGTTGCAAAGTGCTCTATTCTAGTCGTCAGAGCAGGGCTCCAGACTGCTACTAAGCCACGTTCAGTGGGGTTCGATGCTTACTCACTGGGAATCCCTGTCCCCACTCCAGGCCTGACTCCTGTCCCCAGGCAGAGATCCCCCTCTGTGGGCCCTCCAGGGGATCAGGACCTGGTTTCCTTACAACCTGGGCTGAGAGTTGAGGTCAGGACAGGGAGACAGGAGTCTGGGGACAGTTTTGTGGGACCACCTGCCCTAGAAGCTATGGGCTCTTCTGCAGAGCCCAGCCTTGCCCCAGCTCCCCACCCCCTCCCATAAGCATGGCCAGTACCTGAGGAGGAGAGGGTGAGGGGTCCTGCTTGGTAGCCTTCTAGAGCCACGCTCACTGGGAAGGTGACCAGGCACTGGCAGAGAGAGCTGCCAGGCCAGCCCTGAGAACTATGCCAGGCCCTTACACAGCAGGCTGGAGGGGAGTTCCACCCAACCCTACCCTTCTGCACAGTGCACCCTTGTCTAGAGCCTGCCTATACCCCGTAGGTGGGTATGTAGGTAGGTGGGTAGGCAGGTAGGCATGAGAGGGGAGCAGGGAGTTCCTTCAGGCTGCCTGGTTCCCCCAGGAGGGGGTTGAATGAAAGCAAACCAAACATTCTGCTGTGTAGGGCGACAAGGAGGTTGCTTGGCAGGAGGTAGCCTGCCCAGGCCCCTTCCCTGGGCTCCGTGAAAAAACCACAGCCCCTCAACAATCGGGGGCTCCTTGGAGACCAACTTCCTCAGCCTCTCTCCCCTCCTCCCCCAACGTCAGACTGACTTGGGCTTTCAGATGATTTCCTAGCCCAGCCACCCTCTTACTTCCCAAAGAGACCATTAGGAGACAGGGCTGCAGGGAGAACAGAAAATCCCAGAGCCGCTTGGCTGGAAGCATCATTAGCCAACCAGGTACCAGGGCTGGGGTACCGTGGGGCACCTGTCTTAGTGCGAGCAGGGACTGGGGTCTTTCCAAAGGTTGGCAAGCACTGAGGGCAATACCCAGCAGCCCACCCTGAGGCCCACTAAGCACAGGGGTCACTGGGCAAATGTTTCCAAACCATTAGAAAACAGATGTGTGCCCACTGTCTATTGCTATCTACTTGCCATCCCATCATGGCCCACATGGTACATAATTTCTTTCTTTTTCTTTGAGGCGGGGAGGCAACATTTTTTTAAATTGAGGGTTTCTATAAAATCTGGACTTCTGACCTTGCTGGGAAATGGAGAGGCTGTGGCAGCCCCGGCCCCCCTCAAGCACGCAGCAATTGGAACCGCACTTACAGGCTGGCAGCTGGCTGCTCACCACGGTCCCCACCCTCCCCAGGTCCCTGGCTTCAGGGGCACTGGAGTTTTTGATCCCAGATTCAGCCTCTTGGGTAACACGGATTGCCTCCCTGTTAGTGGGGAAGGGATACACATGCTCCCATTTCTCAGAGGACCCATGATACCAGGAGAATGGAAATACTGCCCCCAAACCCCCACACCCTACCCAAAAGGATAATTGGGTTCCTCTTCCTCGGACACCATGTCCACCTTAGTGATAAGACTCCACCACAGCTAGAGTCTCCAGACCTCCAGAACCAAGAGTCTGGAAAGGGACTGGGCCTCCAGAAGTCACCAGCAAAGTCATCACCCTGCCCTCAACAGTTCTGATAGAAGGAAACACACCCCTTTGGCCCTTGGGGAACTAGATCACTGTGGACAGTAGCTCAGGGAAGCAGGGACCAGAGTGAGGCTGTGCATCCCTGGAGGAGAAGGCAAATGTCAACATCTAAGAGTACAGGTGCCCAGCAAAGGAAACTTGACCCACTCTTCACAATCAAGTTCAAAGTTCTGCTTCAGCCTTGGGTTCTTACCAGCCAAAATTCCAGGCCTTCCTGGTTCACTTCTGTTTCCTTAATTCCTGCAGCTACTTCTCTAGAGTCTTAATTAGGAAAAGTGAATCAAATCTCTGCTCCCTCTATTTTGTACCTTATTTCTTCATTGTCCCCACTGGCATCTCTAATGTCTGTCCCCAGGACTTAAATTCATAAAACTAATTTTCAGAAAATCAGTGTTGAGAGGGGAAGGCAACCCAGCACCTGGGCTTTGTGACTGAGAACCGGGTGCTCTGGCTGAGAGACTGGGAGCAGTCCCCGCACCTGTCTGCGCCTCTGTTTCCCACCAGTGAAATGTGGGCAGTGGCAGAGGGGACGGTCTATAAGGGAGCTCTGGGAGCTCCTGGAGGAAGAAGGGGGACTGGTGGGTTGCTCAGAGTGGAAGGAGCAATGGGGAAGTGAATACTCGTGGGCCCCCTCCAGGTGAAGCTCGGCCCCCGCCCCGGGGGCTTGCACACACAGCAGTCCACTCTCACCAGGGAGCTGCCGGGGGAGGAAGTGAAGACAGCAGTGGCCTGGTGCTGCGGCGACACATCAGGTTTGCGGTACACAGAAACGGGCTTGAACCAGAGTTCCTTAGTTCCATGCAGGTCTGGCTCAGACGGAAATGTGTGTTCTAATTTTATCCCTGGCTAAGCTGTTTGTTGGTTCAAGCAAGAGTGGTTGGAGGAGAAAGTCATCACGACCTTTGAGCTGGGCTTTGCTGGGGCTGAAGTTCTAGCTGCCCTCAGTCTTTGTGCATGACCTACTGGAGGGCAGGGGGGGTAAGGTCTGCACTCTTGTATCTCCAGGGCTGAGCCAGGGCTGGTCCACATTAGATGCCTTGTAGATACTGATGGATAGAAGGCTCTGGAAGCCAAGGCACTCTCCTCTCCAAAGAATGGAGACATCTCCCCTTTGCCTGCTGCCTCCAAGCTGCTGGGCATTCTGCCCTGGCCTCTGAGTGCCCAGACATCCCTCCAAGCAGTGGCCTGCCTTCATCCACAGGATGCCTCCCAGGGCCAGAAGCAGGGGGCTGACTGCCTCCCATCCACTGCCCTCTGCGTTCCTCAAGCTGGGAGGAAGGTGAAGTGAGCACATCCCAGCTGTGTGAATTTGGGCAAGTTACGTCCCCTCTCTGGGCTTCTTGTCCATGTATGGAAAGGGAAGGTGGTGCTGCCTGCTTCAGAGGGCTCTAATCAGACTACATGGGGATACCAGTACTTGTAAAGACTGAGCACAGTGCCTGGCATGTCGGAAGAGCTCTAGGAAAGGTAGTTCTGTTCCCCTTCCCGAGTCTCTCTGTCCTCTCTCCCCCATGCACAGAACAAGGAAGTTTTAACAAGCCAAGAGGACCCCCACACACACAGCCTTCTATGGGGCAGAGCGCTGGTGGGCAAGAGCAGCATCCCCTGAAAACAGCTGTGGCACTCGGCACCTGTCCTGGGGGACACTTGGCCGGAGACCACTGTCAGGGCACCCCCCTACCCCCAGGAGCCGGCTTCCCCGGGCTTTGAGCCTTGGAAGGGGAGTGGGCTTCTGGGAAGTTCAGCCCAATGGCTCTGGGGAAGGGGGCAGTGAAAGGGAGGGGCAATAGCAGGGAAGGAAGAACAGGGGTGCCATGGGCTTGGGGTGATGAGGTCAGAGTTTTGAGTGGGGCCTGGGTCCAAGAGGAGGGCAGAGGAGAACAGAGAATCCAAAAGGGCCAAAAGGGCAGTCCCTTACTTTCACTCTCCCTGGGCGATGGTGGGTACGCGATGCACTGCGTCGATGCTGCTTTGTCTGTGGGAGCAAAGAGAAGGGGCATTAGGTGGGCCTGAGGTCAGGAGGGCCTGTCACAGCCAGCACACGCACACACACAGACACATCTTCTCACCGCATGGCTGGGTGTGCCCGGATCACTCTCACATCCTGGCGTGTGGATACCTGCGGGCACCCAGCCCATTGCCTCACACGCTCTCACCTGGGGACACACACACACACAGAGTCACTCCCCAACAAGCGTTCACCTGCTCACACCCCAGGTCACATATCATGGCCACCGTCTTGTCCTGAGCGGTACCTCCCATCCTAGGTTGGTACCCTCTCTTACCAGACAGAACCATGCACACCCCCCTCTCTGTCACACCCCACCGACCGGAGAGGCTTACACGCAGCCCTACACCCCATGACTACCTCTTCTCACCACATACGTCCCTGGAGTGTCCATGTCACCCATCTGGAACCACAACCCCCTCCTGACACAGAATCACACGTGGTCACGCCACCCGGTCCCTAGCAGCCTAGCCCCAGAGTCGCGTTGTCACCTCGGCTCGCTTTCCAGCCGGGCCCTAGGGCGCCATCCCAATGGCCATGCCCCCCCACCCAGCAGTCCCGTAGAGGAGCCCTCACCCGTCTGCACCACCAGCTCCATGGCGCCGTGGACCCTGTGCTCCGAGTGGTGGTGTCTGACCTCCACCACCAGGCAGCAGTAGAGGCCACTGTCTGCGAGGGTCAGGTTGTATATGGTGATAGAGAAGTTGCCGTGGTGGTCAGAGACCGACTCCAGCCCATGGCGCTTGGCCAGGTCCTGGCTGGCGTTGGCCTGGTGGGCGCTGTGGTGCAGGTGGAGGTCCTGGAACGTGAGGTTGCGGATGGGCCGGCGCTCTGAGCACACCTGTACTTCGCCCCGTGAGCTGCGGTACCACGTCTTGTAGTAGGTCACGTCGTGCCCTTTGGCCATGGGACCTGCGATCCTGCAGGTGAGGCTGACGTTCTGCCCCTCGGAGCACACGTACAGGGAATATGGCGTGGCCACCTTGAAGGCTGCCGCTGGACCTGTTCAGAGAGACAAGAGACGGTCCCCTGCCTGCGCCAGAACCACTCCCAGTTCCCCCTGAGTGAGGAGGAACCTTGGCCTGGGGTTCCAAAGATGTGGATTCCCCAGCGACGGGCCCCAGGCCAGTCAGCTGGCCTCCCTGGGCCTCAGCTTCTTCCTTAGCTCCTGAACCTGACTCCATCGCGGGCTGCATGGGAGGAGGAGCTTCTCCAGGTGAGGGACTCCCCTGTCCTCGGGGAAGCTGCACAAGGTGCAGGACAGGCTCTGGGCAGGCGGCGGACTGGGCCCAGCCAGCGTGTCTATCTCCCCACACCATGGCCACTGGCACTGCGGCTCTGCCCATGACCAGCCGCGGACAGCTCCTGCCTCCACGCCCCATGCAGTCTGGTGGGAAGCAGGATGAGGAGCATGAAGGCTATTTGGGAAGAGTAGCTCTTTGCCCTTGACCACCCTTCTGGGGCCATTAGCACTTTGGGCCCTACCCTCTCCTGGGGCTGGCCATATCTTCCCACCCCCTCATCAGGGAGCACTATTGGAGCACCTTCTGTGTGCAGGGCCTGGGCCAGGGGCTACATCTCACCCGGATGCTAAGCGCATGGCCTCCCCTTGGGAGCTGAGGGCCTTGCCACATTGACAAAGCAGGCCTTCCTGACAAAGTAAACAACAGGCTAAAGGGCAGACTGGTGCCAGCCTACAGGGCACTTGGAGGAGGGAAGACTTAGCCATCCTGGGAACAGTCAGGAGACTTCTCGAAGGAGCAACTGTCTTTGGGGTTGATGGATAGAGAGGATTTCAGCAAGTAGAGGGGGTGCCCTGGGCCAGGTGGCGAGGAGGCGGGAAAACCCAAGGTATCTCGGGGCCGGGGCTACATCAGTCAAGAGAGGTCGCCTCATCTGTGTACCCACTGCCATCCAGTCTTCTTAGAGATATTTCCTGGTTCATTTTGTCTCCAATAGGCAAATGAAGCTGTCCCCTGGTCCTCTTTATCCTACCCCAGCCCCCCAGCACTTAACCATGCTGATCCCCCCAAGCGATGACCCTTAAAAGGAGGACGCTGGGGCTGGAGTCCCGGCTCCTATCTAGCCGTGGGAGCTCCCCTTCCTCACATGCGCAATATTGACATAGTACATGGTTGTGAGAGGACAGAGTGAGGGAAAGCTGAAAACACGAGATATGTATGTTCTAATGCCCTTTACAGACACAGGGAGGATCACTATGGTTATTATACGTTAGTGGTATTTGAATTTTAATTGGCATTTCAGAGGCTGTCGTAAGTCAGGGAAGGAGTTTGGAAATGCGTGCAGAATCCAAACCAGCACGTCTCTTCCACGACCACTGTATGAATCAAGATAATGCCACTTCCTCCTGCCCACACCCCCTTCCCTGCCTTTAGAGCCTGGGAACCTCCAGCAGAGCTAAAAGCTTTGCCCAGTCCAGAAGAAGGCAGCCTGGTGTAGCTTCAGAACTGGACACGCCTGCGTTGGAGTCCAATAGCTGGGAGTCCTTTAAACTCTGAGCCTCAGACTCCCCCATGTCAAACAGAAATGAAAAACATCTACCTGCCAGAGTTGAAGCAAGGATTACAAATGCTTTACATGAAGTGCTCATAAATTGCTTTGCTAGTACTTGGTGCTGGCTACAGGGAAGCTAGACTGCTCTCCCATTCATTTGGGCAAGTCCAGAAACATTTCCTAGGAGTGAAAATAGTTCTGCAGAATGGAATGGAGAGGCCAGCTCCAAACTCTTTCCCACTAAGGTGTGAATGACTAACAACAGCTTGGTATCCAATTCTGGGGGGCTTGCATATTGAAAGCAGAGTGTGGGGGGTTAGCAAAATCATGGCCCCAAAGAATATATCTGCAAGGTGGTGTTTTAGGCCCCTAGAAAGTAAGGAAGATACACACACACACACACACACACACACACACACACACACACCCAGATCCTTCCATTCACTCCACCCACATGTGAGAGGGAGCTAAGTCTGAGAGCCCCAGATCTACGGAAAATCTTTGCCAAGGTAAGCAGATATTTCACAACTTGCTGGCAAGATGCTGGTCTCTGTTTCAGGCAGAAATGTAGAGGCCCAGAAGGGGAAAGTGATTTTCCTAAAGTGCCACAGAGGAAGGGTCTGTTTGGACTCAGAACTTGGAGCCTGGGAGGCTTCAGGTAAAGCCAGATCTAGTTAGAACTAGAAGAAGAAGGAAGTGCAGGTATCCTGTGCTATGCCAACTCCCTTAGGGGCATGTCTAGCAACGCTATAAGGTCAGCGTTGTTTTCATTCCTGTTCCACTGAGGAGAAAACGTGAGGCACAGAGATGCTAAATAATTCAGTGAAAATCACAGTAAGTGACTCGGACTCCCCCTCACAGGCCTTGGTGGCAGCTGTGGCCACAGAACTGTGTGTGCCAGTAAATGAAGGGCATAGTAGACAGGGAAAGGACCCTCACAGGCACTCCCAGAAAGACCAAAAACCTGCCCAGAGAGCAAGACCAAAGAGCTGTGTGCCTTCTGCTCCCCCCTTCCCCAACAGGCCCCAGCCAGTGGCAGCTCCCACCAGCACCTCTCTCAACTCGTGCCCCATCTTTCCTGTTCCCAACCCCACATCCTCCCCCAGAGAACCCAAGGCCGGAGCCAAAGCCAGATCCAGCAGCATGTGCTGCCATCACACATACCTTGGGGGCTGGGGGAAAGCGCTGGCTCAGTAGAGGCCCCGGGCCCGTGTCTGAGATGGCTGCAAGGGGGACAGGCAGAGCCAGGGTGGAAGCAGAAGCAGGAAGTGGAGCACAGAGCTGAGCCAGGTGGGGCTGGGGGCTGCGGAGTGGTCAGAGGTATAGATGGGGCTAGCTTGTGGCTGGGGCGGATCAGGTAGGGGCAAGCAGCACCGCCTGCCTCCGGTGGGACCCCAGCCCGGGGGCTGCCAGCGGAGCCTCAGGCTCCAGCCCTCAGGGTCCATGCAAGGGGGTGGGTAAGCACAAAAGTGCCTGGACAGCACTGGGGAGAGATTTTCAGCCCTAAAGGTAATTTCCTTGAAAACCCAGGGTGGGACACAGAATTGCAGAGAAGAGCAAGGGGCGGGAGGGATAGGGAGGGGAGCATTGCTCAATCCCCAACACCCAACACACCCCAGAGGACGTCTTCCCTTTTAAGAAAAAGGAGAAGCTTGCAGTGGGATTCAGGTTTGGGGGATGGGGGACAGCGTTCAATTTCACAAAAGGGCCCAACAGCAGTGAACCAAGTGTTCCCAAGGTCTTGTCTTGGTCAGGGGTTCAGGGACGGCGGGGGTCATCCCCTTAGGTGTCTAAGACTCAAGCCAGGTCAAAACCTAGGACAGCCTGCCCTTGGGAGGGTGCTCAAGGGCACAGAGTTGGGGAAAATAATGCCCGTCCCCCATGCTGTCCACAACTGCATGGGCACACGTGTTACTAGGGATATTTATATCGCACAGCTGGATTTGTAATTATTTGGCAGGAGGATGTTGTTTATTGTCAGGAGCAGATCCTTTTGGACACCTGGGTCATTGTCAGAGATTGGGGAGAGGCTGGGGAGGAAAGCCCTCAGCTCCAGGGTGGCCGAGAACATGTGAGACAGGAAAATGACCCTGGGCCTGGGCCTGAGCCCAGTCACTGCGCAGCTCTTGGAGCCCAGCTGTCACTGGGTAAGGAGGCAGAAGCCTCCGGAGCAAGATTGCTAGGAACCTGGAAAATTCTAGGTCTCAGGATAAAAACCTTGGTCTTACAGATCCCTGGGCCCCTGTCCTCACTTAGCCACATCCTTGCTGTGTGCCCTTGGGCAGGTCCCACCCTTCTCTGTGCCACCCTCTCCTCATCTCAAGAGACTCCCCATGTTCCATGGGGGGTTAAGGGGGTAGGAGAAGAATAAATGAAACAAGATGGGATTGGGAGGGAGACAAACCTTAAGTGACTCTTAATCTCACAAAACAAACTGAGGGTTGCTGGGGGGAGGGGGGTTGGGAGAAGTGGGGTGGGGTTATGGACATTGGGGAGGGTATGTGCTATGGTGAGTGCTGTGAAGTGTGTAAACCTGGCGATTCACAGACCTGTACCCCTGGGGATAAAAATATATGTTTATAAAAACTTAAAAAAAAAAAAAAAGAGACTCCCCATGTTCCTAGGCCTTTCCAGTTCTGAGAGCCTGGGGCAGGAGGAAGGGGCTATGTTTCCTTAGGGCAGAGGAAGGAAGCAAGAAATGGGCCACTTACGTGTTAGGACTTACTTGCTGAGCGTTTTATACTCCTCTCATTAAATATCCCCTGAAGTAGGTATTATCATCCCCGTTTTATTTATTTTCTTTTATTATTTTTTTAAAAGATTTTACTTATTTACTTGACAGAGTAAGAGAGAGAGACGGAGAGCAAGCACAAGCATGGGGAATGGCAGGCAGAGGAGAAGCAGGCTGCCTGCTGAGCAAGGACCCCAATACAGGGCTCGATCCCAGGACCCTGGGATCATAACCTGAGCCAAAGGCAGATGCTTAACCGACTGAGCCACCCAGGTGCCCATTTAAAAGATGAGGAAGCAGACGCTGAAGTTAAACAACCTCGCCAAGACCACCCAAGCCTATGTGGCTGAGCGGAAACCCACAGCTTGGACAGGCTAGCACTGCAGGAAGGAAGAGCCCCCGCCCCCCACCCTGCAACTCCTGAAGCGGGTGGGGCTGACACCTGTCAGAGAGTGAACTGACCTCAGGCTGACTGCAGCTTCCAGGCAGTCTTCCTGGCTCTGCCTGGGACCTAAACCGAAAACACCATGCCATCATTCCACAAATAGGTACCAAGGTCCTACCATGAGCCAAGCCCAGGGCAGAGAGGCCACCCCTGAGGGATGGCCGCTCAGAATCTAGTCTCGCTCCTGCCACTTCCCAGCGGTGGGACCCTCAGCCAAAGGCAGGCTCAGGCCCTTGTAGAAGCTTCTGTTCCAGCAGGCACCGGGGAGAGGGGCTCCTGGCTGGCTCCGTCTAGGGGTGCTATTTTTCATGA